CTACGGATGACTAGCTTTCTATGTAGCGTATGTACGGGCATACTTTGCATGTTTGTAGGTGCATGAGTACTTTGTATGTTTGTAGGTGCATGAGTACTTTGTATGTTTGTAGGTACATGAGTACTTTGTATGTTTGTAGGTACATGAGTACTTTGTATGTTTGTAGGTGCATGAGTACTTTGTATGTTAGTAGGTGCATGAGTACTTTGTATGTTAGTAGGTGCATGAGTACTTTGTATGTTAGTAGGTGCATGAGTACTTTGTATGTTTGTAGGTGCATGAGTACTATGTATGTTTGTAGGTACATGAGTACTTTGTATGTTTGTAGGTGCATGAGTACTTTGTATGTTTGTAGGTGCATGAGTACTTTGTATGTTTGTAGGTGCATGAGTACTTTGTATGTTTGTAGGTGCATGAGTACTTTGTATGTTTGTAGGTGCATGAGTACTTTGTATGTTTGTAGGTGCATGAGTACTCTGAATGATCCATTTCAGAGAACTTTTCACCCCGTTTTTTTGCTTCATATGACAATGTTGCGTTTGGATGTGTGTGTGCGTGTATGTGTGTGTGTGTGCGTGTATGCGTGTGTATGTATGTGTGTGTAATGTGTATGTACGTGTGTGTGTGTGTGTGACTTTTTTAACTATGTGTAAAGTGGCTATACTTGATAGGTTACTTGCTAACTTTTTATGGTCATCCTGTCTTCTTTTTTCCTTTGTTTTGGAGACAAATAAAATGTATCGTATCGTATCGTATCGTATGTGTGTTTGTGTAAGTATATAAATAGTAAATTGATTACTATTGATGTATTTGTGCGTACGGTCATCTTGCAGAATAATCGCTAATGTAGACAAATGCTTATAAGAAAAGCGCCGGAAACGCGGACGTATAGTATTTATTTGTGGGTATACGCACGTACGTACAACCAAACATACAGGCGTATACACACGTACACACGCATAACAACGTACCGTGTGTGCATGAATGCGTACGTGTAGATCTTATTAATGCGTAATAAACAGAAGAGAATGAGGTGGCTAACTCATCATAAAGTAAGCGTTGGGCTGGCAAAGAAGGTATTTGTATACATTTGTATATGCGTGTGTATGTGTACATGTGTGTATTGCATGTGTGTGTGTATGTGTGTAGTATGTGTATATGTATGCATACATACGTACGTACATACATACACACACACACCCATACATACATACATACATACATACAAAAACGGTCAGCCACTATTTAAGAAGATTGCGGAAATAACTTACATTTGTACTGGAGATCAGACGGGTCACGTGATTGTTTATTTTTTTCATGAATGACTGAGCGAGTGAATGAATGAATAAATAAACGTGTGCGTGAATTGATGACCAGGGTGAGAGGATGAATGTCAAGGTGAGTGAGACAATAGATGACTTAGCGAATGAATGAATGGATGAATGAATGGATGAATGAGTGAGTGAATGAATGAATGAATGAGTAAGTGAGAGAGTGAGTAAGTGAGTGAGTGAATGAATGAATGAAAGAATAAATGAGTGAATGAGTGAAGGAGTGAATGAGTGTGTGAATGAAAGAATGAATGATGCCTTAGCGTTTAATCAATTTGATTTATTGACTTTTTTGCCCTCTTTATTTTCCAGGTTATAATAATAACATAAATAATAAATTATAATAAAAATAATAATATTAAATATTAATAACAACAATAGTCTATAATAATAATAATAACAAATTTTAGTAGTTTAAAAAATGTCTGAATTTATTTTTTTATAATATATTATTATTATATTTTTTTCTACATCATCATAACCTGCATCATCATCATCTTCATCACTATCATCATCATCATCGTTTTCTTCTTCTTCTTCATCGTCGTCGTCATCTTTTGGTGCAAAGATTCATCACAGCCTAT